TTAAAGCTATTAAGAGTTACTTAAAATCTTTATGTTAAGAGGCTTTTCCCCAGTGTTTTCCCAAACACTCCAGTACACTTTATATGAGTATTCTCTTACTCTTTCAGTTTCCAGAAGGCTGGTACACTCTATCCAGTACCCAAACCCCTTCTCTTGAAATGCCAATATTGGTCTTGATGTTTTAACTGACTCCAAAGGTCTCCAAAGGCAGTTTCTAACCACACCAGACCAGGGATCTCTGTATTTTTCAGAGCTACCTCCATGTTTGACTGGGTAGGGAAATTCTTCTCTCACTAGAAGATCTGTCCCCTTTCTTTGGCCAGAATGTGGGTCACCATCTAACTACCCACTCATCCTTGCCAACTTTCCCCAGTTCTCCTGTCTGTGTTAAACTGCTCTCAGTTAGGGCTGAATACTGAGACTGTCAGTACTTGACTCTCCTCAGCTAGAGCTGGAATCAGACTGAATTCTCCTCAGCATCCAATTCAGAAGTCTTTCTCTGCTCAGCTAATGCTAACCAATGAGATCCCTTGGACCAGCCTGTCACTCAAGGCTCTCTGGCTCTGTGAATAATTAACACTTCACAGTCCTTTACCTGTTTATACAGAATTTCTAAGCTTTAAAAGTGCAGTCCATCACACATGCCATAACACCTTTTCATTAAGATGGCATCTTGTCCTTTTATAATGAGCCAAGTTTCACCTCTGTCTTTTCACACCTATAAACATATTGCACAATTAGTGTTCTTAGTGAATTTCCCCATTCCATCAAAATAAGCATCAAAACAGATGGCACTGAGAGAGCCAAGATCTGATCTTTCCAGTATTTTTAAATGAGCTGATAGCTGCATAAAGTCCCAACTGGGATTAATGTACTATCAGAGAACTCCAAGAAATACCGGTTTTGCACAGATAATTTTGTTGAAAATTGTATAATCTTTATTATGTTCTGGTGTGACAAAATAAGGGACAACATTTAATTATTTTTTTAAAAAAATATTTAGATACCTTTCTAATGTACATTGATAAAGATGGTAGGGTTTCCTGGAAAATATTTTGATAAAAAAAATAAAAAAGTAAAGTTGTTGCATAGAAATAAAAAGACTGAAACCACAAAAAGGTGACAATTCTGTGTTTTTCTCACACTACAGGTGTTAGATTAGCAAGGCTAGCAAGTCTGTGTTATTAACTAATCACGATGTTGTGAATAGTCACTGTTCTTACCTTGTATGCATCTGAGCTTTGTATAAACATGTCACAGACTGTACTTCTTGCATTCCATTGGCTGTTGACCATATTGGCCAACAGTAGATACATTTCATGCATCTGATTATATGGAAACTAGTCCATGATGTAGACTCTATGAAAATATATGACATCATTTAAGTTATCTTGTTTCCATTTATTTAAAAAAAACTATCAAAAAGTACATGATGCCATTAGATTTCAAAGACTTTAAACAGCTGGGGTTTGTGTGAGTATATGAAAATGACAAATGGTAGAGAATTACAGTCACTGTGGGCCAGTAGTTAGAGTGAGTACTTCTGGGGACCCAGGTTCAATTTTTTCTTCTGCTTTGAAGTTTACTGGTCAGTCTCCCCCCCCCAACCAACGTCCCATGTTTGTTTTGAAGATAAAATGTGGGACAGAAAACAGTGAACACTACCCTAAGCTCCCTGAAAGTGTGGCATAAGAATGTGACGGTATTTCTTAAAGAAATGGTTTAGCTTTTGTAGGCTTTTTTAGAATTCCTTTTTTTTAATGCAGTCCAATTTCATTTTCATTTTATTATCAGTCATTTATTCTTGTAACTAATAATAAGGCTGCCAAACAAGATCTCCAATAACTGTCTTTATACCTCAGTAATTATCAGCATAGCTTAGAAATATGGAGAAATTATGTTTGGAGGAGTCGAGTGCAGGTTGCAAAGGAGCTTCTGGATAATTAGAGCACAACAAGGTCTTTTGAGCTCTCATCTCGTCTCTCAATCCCAGATAAATCTGTTTGGAAGTAACACTGATATCAATCACATTTCTTTCACCTAACACCCTGCCTTGATTACATCCAGTATCTCAAAAACTTATCAATTGTCAGTTCATGAGTGTGAATTATTTTTCATTACCCTCCTGCACTTTTTATAACATTCATTGTAATAAAATGAATTAGATAACAAATCTTTGATAATGATTCCATTCGTCCCCGCTGATGGTCACTACAGTCTCGTTTCTTTTCTTTTTTTATTAATTGAATGCATGTTTTATTTCATAATATTTATTCAACCAGATAAACTTATAGAACTTTTCCCCCTCTAAAGCAGGGGTTCTTAACCAATTTTTTGTGCCATGGATTCTTTTAGCAGTTTGGTGAAGTCTATGGACCACTTCTCAGAACAATGTTTGTAAATGCATAACATAAAATGCATACAATTATGAAGAAAACCAATTATACTGAATTACAGTTATAAAATTTTTTTTTTTAATTGTGATATAGTAATATAAGTGTTTCCAGGCCTTTTTTTGTAGAAAAAGCCCAGCAGGAACTCATTAGCATAATAGGCCACACCAAACAGCAAAACCAATTAGCATATTAGGCCACACCCCCTGACAGCACAGCTCATTAGCATATTGGGCCACAGACACCCTCATTACCAGAAGTGTGGTCATCCAGCCACACCCATCGTTTGCTTCTTATTCTGTTTACCTTGTTTGTTGTCAAAACCCAGGGCCTTTTTGTAGCAGGAACTCCTTTGCATGTTAGGCCACACACCCCTAATGTAGCCAACCCTAATGAGTTTCTGCTGTTGGGTGTGGCCTATTATGCTAATGAGTTCCTGCTGGGCGTGGTCAACTTGGGAGCCAGCCGGAATGCCGTTCCTGTGCGTTCCTGCCCAAAAATAGCCCTGAGTGTTTCTTTGTTAACACATTAAAAATGACAGTTTGAACTTATTTGAACTTTTACACTCATAGCCTACACGCCTGTCCATGTTACAGAAGGCTTCATCGCCTTACACAGAGTTAACAATTCTTATTTGAACTGTCCAGCTTTGCAAAACTTTAACAAACAATGAAAATGACTCATTTCCTTCCATGTATTGATCAATAAACAATTGCAGATAGGGAATACTGGAAAGCAGTGTCGATGTCTGGGTCACCAGTGTGAGAACTCGAGACTTCACTGTTCGGTGGCTGAATGACTACTAGGCGCAGAATTCCCCAATAGTTGGCCATCTACTTTGCACAAGCATCTGTAGGCAGGAAGACTGCCATCACATGCAATCTAGCGACAGGTCTAATAACTACCATAATTTCCAAGTAGTGATGAGCAGAAATGATATTTTGAGATAATCTGCAACAACTGTAATGTGGTATGAAAATATCTGTGATTTCTATTGGTGACAAAGTCACAGGTACTGCTAATATTGCTGTGGCTTGTTACCTGCATTTATAATTGAAGGGCATGCTAAATATCACTTAGCAGTTAGTGAAAATAAAGATGTAATTTGTTTTCCCCCATCCAAGTTCATGGATCTGCTGAAATCTATTCACAGACCCCTTGGGTGTCTGTGGACCCCAGGTTAAAAATCCCTGCTCTAAAGTCACCCAAGTTAATCCTTCCTGATGAATGTGTAGCTATTAAATTTGCATTCGTCTCTATCTCATCACAACCATTAAGCAAAGAGATAAGGAAACAGACTTCCTGTATACTTTCCTGTGGTGAACTCTCATCTAACCCCTGATTTTTTTTTAATGGATAAAACGACACATTTATTTTGAATGTAATAATGCAAGGATATCAATGTTTGAATATTTTATGTAAAGGCTTATGCATAAATTGTGCATCTAGTTACTCTAATATAAATTTCATTATTGTGTTTTGGGATGTAGTCTCTGGATTTATAAGATGTATTTTTCCTTATTAAAATCCTGACGTTTCTACATAATAACAGATGGCAGATAAGAAAGTGACTGTGGGATGCACCTTCTGAATATATTATATCAATCCATCTAATATCTAAAATCCTATACAAATAGTAGCAGCTGTCAGATATATTTATGAAAAAAGCAAATCCTAAAAGGGAACATTTGATCTTTCATTTACAAGTGGCAAGACCTAAGTATGGTTTAAATGTACACCATGTTTTATTGTGTTAATAAAGTGTGATAGTAGTTCTGCTGATCTAAATCATATACTTGTGATTATTCTTACGATAAATTGGTTTGGCTCAAGGTGTTTGTTACATGCATTATTTAATGTGTGAACATTAAAAAATGAAACAAGGATTTACCATTCCCTAATGACAGTTAAAATAGCCTGCAGAAATCAAGAATAGCTTTACCTCAGTTAGTTTGTGAAATGTAAATCTACCTGTCCTTGTTTATTCCTTTTTCAGAAAGGTAGACAGGGTTCACACGAGACTTAAAGATTCAAGGCCAAAAAGCCATATATGGTATGTGAAGTCTGAGGCACTAACAGCTTACCATGCCATATATAATTTTAATGTACATACTTAAGACCAATGCTCCCTCTAAGCTGTGGAGTCTTGTGAGCTACTGGCATTAAAGTTGTGAGCGAGCAATTTGGCTGCTGCATAAATTAGTTTGCTCTGGAGCCATCCTCCCTGAGCTAAGACAAAATGTGTGAGCTGGAGGCTAAAAAACTGTGAGCCAGCTCACACTAACTCAGCTCAGAGGGAACACTGCTTAAGACTTGGAATCAGAGGGCTGTATTCTCCTTAATGCTCACAGGAAGCAATACAAAGTAGAGAGGCAGAGTGGTGGTGCCCTTTCTTTGCCCAAAGGATGGGTCTGGGCTAAGAAATGTTGATGATCACTGGCACATCCCAGTGCTTTGACTCTGCAGAAATCAGTCTTTAATATATCAGAAGTCCTTTTCCATTTTTGGACATATGCAGTAATTCTAATAGCCATGAGTATCTTAATAAAAGTTATGTATAAAATATTGTGTTATAACTAATACAGCTTTTTATTCCTTCTGTTACAGTAAAGACTTGTGGATCTAATCTTCAGGGGCCCAGTGGAATCTTCACATCCCCAAACTTCCCATTCCAGTATGACAGTAATGCTCAGTGTGTTTGGGTCATCACAGCTATCAACCCAAACAAGGTAAATTCAAATCTAAGAAAATGTTAAAGACCTTTATTGAATAACCGCAACCAGAAGGGCTGACAGCTATAATATGACTTAGGTATGCCTTGTATATGTCCACTGTAAATTTAATTGTTTAATTCACTGAATAATTAACTGCACATAGGTTCAACGAGGTCAAATTATACCTGAAGGTTTTCCCATGAAATGTAAAACCATTTTTGAATGGATGATAAGAGTTGTCACTTCAAGGCCTCTGGTTACATCATGCGTATGCATCAGGCAGCCCTGGATAGACAGGAAGGCATCATCTTTTTATCCGTTTCTCCACTCAGCTTTCACCTTCTGTCTTTTCCATGGATGCTTTTGAATTTCTCATTGATCGTGATTTGAAACCAAATACTTCTCATTCCTGCATTGCAGCACAGTGGAATGGAAATAACAACAGTTGTTCTTGATTTTTGTTCACTTGTTTTGAACATTTTTTCAACAGGGAATCCAAATCTTCAAGTGGATTTAAAATGTTGTAATGATTATTAACTTTTACGTAATGGCAATGCACAAAATGTGGATAGAAGTTTTTAAAAGAAAGAGAAATGGTGAAGAAAATGGTTGATAAGTCACTGTGTCAACAAATGGGAAAAGCGTAAAAATGCTAAAAATGCCCAGGGGTCATTTCGTAGAAAAAGAGGTGCAGGAGCTTATTAGCATAATTTATTAGCATACCTTATTTGCATATGCCATACCCCCTGACCTCATTGGAAGTGTGTCAGGAGGCAACACCCACTGCTCAGGCTCCACTGAACTGTTTTGGATTGCTAGCTATTGGGGGTGGGGGAACATGCAGATCTGTCCTCACAAAGGAGGGAGAGCTTGGACCGGAATAAAACTTGCTTAAAGGTGCCACTGGACTGTTTTGGATTGCTAGCTGGGGGGGGGGAATGTGCAGATCTGTCCTCACAGAGGAGGGAGAGCTTGTACCTGAAGGTGGTCCGGGGGGGTACAATTTACCTGGCTGCTTCTTGCTCCTCATGGTCCAACTGAGGGCTGCTGGTAGCAGGGGGTGGGGCTTATTGCATGTGCCCTCCCCCTGGGCTCCCTACTGCCGGAGCTCCGCTCCTGTGCGCTCCCGCAGGAAATGACCCCTGAAAATGCCAATCACACCTGACACATTCCTATACAGGTTGATCTCGGGGATCAGATGTGGGATTCTCTGTGGAATTCTTCAGGGTTCCTGTTGTAGAGTAATTAGGTAGAATCCATAAGTTTTTGTACTCGCTGAAAGGGGCAAGGTGAATCTATAGACAGCCAGACTTTGCAGAAGCAACCAGTTCATTTTGGCCAATAAGCTTTGCTTTCAGCAGGTCTTCCATTCAATTGATTTCCATGGCTGTTTCTCTCCAATGACAGAGTCTGGAATATATCATGGGCATTGCTTCTGGGATGATCTTGTATCACTTGCTAACTAAGCTAGTTTTGCTTGATATGTTCCATAGGTGACACATATGGCCTCAAGGTAGAAATAGGTTTAGATGTAAATTTAAGGTTAATCCAAAGGCATTTTAAAATCTGCATTTTATTATTTGTTCTTTAGACTTTTCTACCTTGCATTTTAAAATAAAGCAATTTCTTTTATAATTTATGCATCACTCACAATGAGTGTCCACTTTTTTGTTTTATTAAATTTAGAAAAGAAAATAATGGCAAGACACACACTTTATCTCCACAGCAATTTATAGAATTATTTATTTATTTTATTAATCATTCATTAACCACCTTTCTAACTTATAAGAACTCAAGGCAGCTTACAGTGAAAATAATAATAAATAGCATTGAATGCATAAAATACATAAGAACTGGAAGTTCCAGAGCCAGTTTGTAGTGGTTAAGAGCAGCAGACTCTAATCTGGAGAACCAGGTTTGATTCCCCACTCCTCCACATGAAGGCAGCTGGGAGACCTTGGGGCAGTCACAGTTCTCTCAGAGCTCTCTCAGTCCCACCTACCTCACAGGGTGTCTGTTGTGGGGAGAGGAAGGGAAGGTGATTGTTAGATGCTCTGTGCCTCCTTCGGGTAGTGAAAAATGGAGTGTAAAAAACAGCTCTTCTTCTTAAAATCAACCATTTAAAATTGCTGGTATGGAGAAGAACTAATCAAATGCCGTCATGAATAAAACTGTCTTCAGTTGCCTCCTAAAGATCACGAGTGAGGGGACCAAGCACACCTGGGGAGGTAGCTCCATAATTGTGGGGCTTCCACTGGCTAATAAATGAAAAAGTCCTCTCTCATGTACCCACCAGATGAGCTTCTTTGGTTGATGTGACAGGCAAGAGGGCCTCTTCCTGTGATCTTAGTTTCCCCGCCAAGCACATATGGGAGAAAAAGGTCCTTTAGATACCCTGGTCCCAAGCCATGTAGCGCTAAAGGTAAGAATCAACACCTTTAATTGGGTTTAGGAGGAGATTGGAAGCCAGAATAATTGCTGTAGGACTGGGGTCACATGGTTTTAGTAGCAGGCTGCAACCGCCAAACACTCTTCAAGCCCCAAGCAGAGCATATTGCAATAGTCCAACCAAGAAGAAGAGGAAGAGGAGGAGATTGGATTTATACCCTGCCCTTCACTCGGAGTCTCAAAGTGGCTTACAAACACCTTTCCCTTCCCCTCCCCACATCAGACACCCTGTGAGGTAGCCAGGGCTGAGAGAGCTCTTTTAAGGACTGCCCTTCAGAGAACAGCTCTGACAGAACTATGGCTTGCCCAAGGTCTTCCAGCAGCTGCAGGTGGAGGAGTGGGGAATCTAACACGGTTCTCCCAGGTTAGAGTCCACGCACTTAACCACTACACCAAACTGACTCTTTAGATGTAACTATCACTGTGGCTATATCAGATTGAGTCAAGAACAGGCATAGCTGGCAAACGAACTGAAGGTGGGTGAAAGCACTTTGAAGCACAGCAGGCACCTGATTTTCTAAGGTGGCTGCTGTATCAAGCAGCACTCCCAAGCTGTGAGCCTGACTTTTCAAGTCCCAACTATGGAACAACCTCCTCAGGAAGGTGTGCCTGGCCTCCTCGGTGTCATTCTTCAAGAGGCAGCTGAAGATAATTTTATTTAGGTCTGTTTGGCAGTCCTAATTGGAGTTCTTAACCTGTGACTTTTATGGGTTTTATCATTGTTGTTTTTATTGTGTCTTTTTATAATGTTTTATTTATATTGTAAACTGCCTTGAGTCCCACAAGGGAGAAAAATGGCTAACAAATGTTTTAAATGAATAAAAAAATGTTTTAAATAATAATGCTGGGACCTGACAATCCACATTAATGGATTAAAATAACTGCAACTCATATGTTTCGCTGGTTTCATTTATGAGAGGTGGAGCTAATTTTTTTAAGATTAGGTCTGTTACTATAAACCATGAGTGCAGTAAACAAAACCATCTTCTGGATCTGGGGCATTTTTTGGGGGGAGGGGGTTGAACCTAACCTATGCATGTTATAGGTACAATTTTAAGCTACCATTGCACACACATCAGAGCTGCTTTTAACCCCCATTTTAGGGAAAAAAGAACAACAACCACCAAATAGCCTCTCAGGCCACATGCACTTGTAAGAAAGATTCCGCCATCAATTGGTGACTAATTACTGACATTAAAAATTAAAATCAAACTTTTTTTTAGCAACAAAAGCTGTTGTCCAGTTAAAACTGAACTGAACAACTGTGCAGTCCTAAATAGTTACACCCTTTTAAGTCCATTCAGAACTACTTTGTGTTACAATTGTGTTATAATTGAGGCTGCAATCTCAAACACATTTGCTTGGGAATGAGACCTACTGAACTCAATAGGTTTTATATCTGGGTATGCAGACCGGAAGGTCTGTAGTTCGGCAGTTTGATACCCTAGTGCCGCATGATGGAGTGAGCTCCCGTCTCTGGCCTCAGCTCCTGCCAACCTAGCAGTTTGAAAGCAAGAAATTGCAAGTAGGTAAATAGGTACTGCCAGGGGGGGGGGGTGTAGAAAAAGCCCAGCAGGAACTCATTAGCATAATAGGCCATACCCAACAGCAGAAGCATATTAGCATATTAGGCCACACCCCTGATAGCACATCTCATTAGCATATTAGGCCACACCCCCATGTTACCAGAAGTGTGGTCATCCAGCCACACCCACCTTTTGCTTTTTATACTGTTTCCCTTGTTTGTGTTCAAAACCCTGGGCTTTTTTTGTGGCAAGAACTCCTTTGCATGTTAGGCCACACACCCCTAATGTAGCCAATCCTAATAAATTTCTGCTGTTGGGTGTGGCCTATTATGCTAATGAGTTCCTGCTGGGCGTGGCCAAATCAGGAGCCAGCCGGAACTCTCCGTTACTGTCCGTTCCTGCCCAAAAATAGCCCTGGGTACCGCTTTGGTGGGAAGGTAACAGTGTGCACCTCGGCATTTAGTCATGCTGGCCACATGAGCACGGAAACGTCTTTGGACAGCACTGGCTCTTCGGCTTGCAAATGGAAATGAGCACCACCCCCTAGAGTCGGATTCGACTAGCTTTTGAGCAAGGGAAACCTTATTATGCAAGTTTAGGCCTTAACAATATGACTATTCTATGCCCATTGAATTCATTTTTCTTAGAATAGTGTAACTTTACTTAGGATTTCCTGTCATTGTTGCATCCCTAAGGGGGAGAAGAAGTCATCCCAATTTGAGATAAACCTTGTATTGTGTAGTGCGTATTGTGTAGATTCAGGTGTTGAAGCAGCGGGACAAAGTTTGAGTCCAGTGGCCCCTTTAAGACCTTGAATAAAACTTTTGTCAGTTTTAAAGATGGACTCAAACTGTGTATTGTGTAGTGAGTTATATACAATGTTTGATGGTGTTCCATATGCATGTGCCCATCAGTTATGCAAATTGTCCCCACTCGATTATCGTTTTCTAGAAAACACAATTATCCAATGTACATTTGGGTTAGAAAGGTTGTGGCAGATGGAGAAATCCCCGTGCTCGTGGCGCATTCTGTACACAAAGT